TCTTCTAGGACGGGAAGAAGATCGGTCTGGACAATCTTCGCCACACTCCCAGCAAGCCCAAGTCCTTTTTCGAGTGTTGTTGGTGAGGACCTCTTGGATCTGTTTTTGCTGTTCCTCTATCATGGCCTCCTATCTCTTTAAGACGTCTTCGAAGTTTGTCCGATGTTCTTGATAGTGGACATTCTTTTACTTTATTGGAGTGTTGCCATGCCATTCAATAAGACGATCCCTCAAGTCCAGGAAACTCATACTGGGGTGCTCAATAGTTAGACACCTCATCTTTTGTTTTTGGATGTTGTTCTCTACAGCTTTTGCCAGTTGACCTTTTAATGCAGACTCTTTAATTCCGCTGAAGGTAGGGTCAATTTTGATATATATGTCAATAAGATCGAGGGATACGGTCACCAGGTCCTGTCCAGACGATTGATGATGAGAGTAAAAGCGGTGCTGAGCCGACTGTAAGTCACATCCATCTCCAAACACTTCCGGCAAGATTCGTTTGATTTTGTCCGAAGAATTCCTGACGCCTGATCCCCGGGCGAGGATTTCCTGTTGGGTTCGTCCACCAGGATTCTCTCACAGCAGAACTGCAAAATCTTCGGTCTTCAACTTGCGGATTTCTGCAGCACATTTCACATCCGAAATCCACTCTTCTAATGGGACATTTCCTGTTGGGTTGCGTTGTCTTTGAAAAGAGCTATCTGTTGGCCTGTTGACAGGACACTGGGCTTGTTAATCCTTGCAGTCAAAACATCCTACTGTTCCCTCTCTTTCAGCCTCAGGACCTCCAACTCCTTCGCGACAGATTCCATTGTTTCAGCAGACTGTTCAGCTTCCCCCTGTGAGTTGAGATGACTTGGACTGGCAGACCCAGATATCTTAGCTGTATGACCCTCCCTCACGTTGACTTCCTCATCACAGTCACCCTGGGGGCTTCACACATCACTTCTGTATCCTACTTCTGACACCATGTATATAACGTTGGAATTCAGCACAGAAGAGTGAATGGTTTCGTCAATGTTTAGCTTTTGGCATTCCGTGAAGTCCAACATGATGAAACAACTAAGTTGTGGCTTCGTTCGTGTTGCGCTCTAAAAAATCTTTTCATACCTCGCACCTCGGCAAGCATGGCTTTTGTGGTGGGAAAAACTTTGAAACAAGTGTATCATGGGAAAAGTTGTGAATTTTTTGGTAATTTTGGTAAATTTTACAGTTATGAAACGTGAGAATGTTTACTGCTACTGCTGCATCATATTTTAACAGTTTATTAAATAATTTTAACAGCAAATGTCGAATTTTGTGAGTACTTCCGGAAGATACCGACGATTTACCGGAACGCTCACACTTATAATGAACTGTAATGTTGACTAGTTTGACTTGTGATTGGCAATATTCTCGAAGCAACACCTATCGGATAATAATATCCGATAAACTGGAGACTTTTGTCTTCAACATGGCAGTCGCCTCAAAGTGTGGCCATTTTGAAGGTGTCCCAAATCCTTACCCACTCACCTCTCTTTTAGGCATGTGCGGCCTGGTATTGGTTCGAAAATGCTCTTGTAGATATTGTGAATTGTTCCTCTTCTCATCTTAGCATGCTTCAATCCCTCTTGCAGTTTGAATGCTTTAACAATGCATTAAAAGAGATTCTGAGCAGGTGCACCAAATTGTCTGTGGGAGATAGTGCTGTGATCTTTCTTGTAGAATAAATTGGCTGGAGACCCCTTCCGTATTGATTATAAGTTGTGTGCTGTATCGCTAGTTCTTTACAGCTACATGGTCGTTCATGTAACGATGTCATACGTGAAAACATGTAACGCCTGTTATGGTGTGTTTCCCTGCCCAGTTCTTGTCTAAGCAGTGTTATAAAATCTTTATTTCACTGGATGCCACAGGGACATATATGTCCCTCCTCTACAACCCTCACTTTGAAGTCTAATAAAATTCAAAATACATCACCCACACAAATACACTTCACAGTTTTGAATAAGATGGGAAATTCCCTGTTCTGTGATATCATCCACTGGCATTTTAGGCCAAGCAAAAGTACTGAAAATGACCTCTGAAAATTGGGTACATCGTATATGTCGCCATTTTTTACACATTACTAAATCACCACTCACGGTGTTATTTACAACATGTTTTGAAATCTAAATTTCAGATATTTACACAGAGAAGTGAACTTCAAAAATAGCATATTAGTGGTCACGGGTATCTGTCTTTTATGAATTCACCATTGATCATTCCAAAACGTCTCCGATAACCCTAGAAACGTTTAGAATGTTTTGGAAAATACGCAAACACGAACGCCAAAGTGAACTTTCCGCCATATTGGATAGTGTTTACAAAATCACGTTTCAGGTACACCGGTAATGAGGGGCCTGTAACATCACATATATTTCAAACTTAGCTGCGATACATACATCCTTGAATTCCTCATACATTTTAGAATCAAATGACCAATGGTCTTTGTCACCAATAATAAGTGGCTGGATGAAATCAAGCAAAATAAGTTAGGTGTGAAAACGAATGCTGTGCTAAAAAAACTGCACTTGTTTGAAATGTAAACAAAGCAAAAATACAGATTTTACACACTATAGCATTTTGTCCTATTTTGAGCTATTCATTCGTCTATTCGTTCAAGATATTGGCTCAACATATGCATGGGAAGAGCATCGTAGGAAGAATTAGGGAATTTAAAATAGTTACATTGCAATGATTTGATATTTTCAACAGAAATTGTCAAAGTTACCGTTCTGTGTGACGCCATGACTGACGCAAAATCACGCACAATGACAACAGTATTTATCGGAATTTCTGACTATTTCCGTTTGTTTCAATGAAAATTATAACAACAAATAACAGTACATAGATTGTCAGAATGTTTCTGATTACTTACATGTCACATTTATGTTGATACGATCCCTGAATCAACGAATGTCCCCTCGTTAAATGATCATTGTATCATGCTGTTTACAGTTTCAGTTATGATGTAGATTTTCCATATCTGTTGTACATTTTTTCACACAGTTAATTTCACTTTGGATATTTGTCAGTGTTCAAAATGATATCATACGTAAATATAGGCCACAACATGTATGAACGAACCTTTGATAATCTCCTGTTTGTTTGAACATTGTTTACATAACAATTGATAGGTTTTTAGTGTCGAATATGTTATTTCTTTCCTTTGGACAAGTGTTACAAGATGAAGTGTAAATGTAACTGCAGCATGTATGTATTTCTTAGGATGTGTAATAGTCAATATTATAAGTTCATATAACCAAAGTCCATGAATAGCCGTTTCATGTTATTTTATAACTAAAACTGAATATATTACTTTAACAAAATGGATAATATTTTTCTTTAAAATATATACACAATGAAATATTTTAAAATATATATATCGTTTCAGGATATTATAACCCGTGTTTGTTTCTCAACTGATCACTTAGTTTGTTTCAGGTGTTTCACAAAGGTGTCAAGCCTCAAAGGTCGACTGAGAAAGCCCATGTGACAACTATTTTCATAACGTCCACGGTTCCTAAAAAAATCCATTGAGTTAGATAACAATGACCAATCAATCAACGTATTATCGGTTAACCCTTTGAACAAAGTAAGTTGTTTTTACATCGGCACTTCACGCAAGGATATGAGTGTATTCCCTTTGTTTTAGTAAACCATGTAAACACTCACTGTTGACATCCACTGTGCAAGAAAGCAGTGATTAATCAATCAATGTATTTTCTGTTAATCCTTTGATGATTAGGAACGGTCCGATAATTTACAAAAAAGTAAATCAACTGATCATTCATCTCTTGTTGGGCTGCCACGTGCATATTACATAACACACATTTCACCTCACTTCAAACCTGGATTTAGATTGAATAATTACGCCAGACACAATAAATGCCAAATGGGAACCTTTGTCAGGTATTCTGAGTTACCTGCTACCACTAATTATACATGTAATAAATTCATTAACTGAGCATCAAGTGAATGACGACAAATAAAACAAGTGTAGGGTTATGACAGAAAACGTGGATGACAACAAGGGTGTAGTAATCGTATTATCGACGCAATCCGAAATCCGAAAATGCTTTCACTGCATGGTTACTTTTTTTATTATTAAACTATAACAATCAGGGGTATTTCCAAATGACAACATCCGATGAGCTCTGCCATTCTTTTTGTCTGTTTGTTTGGGCTGAAGAAATTAATAAACATGCGCCCTTTGTCGAAATCTTTACAGATCACGGTTAACCGAGGTTCAAAAATGAGTAAAACAAATATTGCCTCCAAGTTTATTTAGCTGTCCTTGCAGACGGTAGCCCAGTCTCTTGTCACGCCTCAGTTGCGTTGCGTATCATCCGGGTACTCACGGGGAAAAAACAATAACAAATTCAACAACCAGTCCCGGGGAATTGCTTTAGATCAGTGCCCCTTTTATTTATTTGTGATCTCGCACGCAATATGCCCTCCGACCATCCCCGCATCACAGCCTGTTGACTTTGCAGAAGAGAATGATGTAGCAAGGGTATTCACGAAATAAGGTCCTGGATGTTGTTATGCACAGGATTACAGTGCGTGACCCATTTGTTTGGGTGGTGGCCATGATCATGCTGGGATATGTTCGGGTGAATCATTTTTTAGAAGCTGGAAACTTTGTTCGAACTGTTTTCTGCATAGGATGAAAAGAAGAAGGAAGAAATGCATAATGTGAGATAGGATAAGTATAAAAATACCATATTTTCTTGAGTATAGTGCACACTTTTTCCCCCCCCAAAAGCACAACTATGTAGAAGGGGTTGCCCATTTTACATAATATAATAATAGTTTTGATGTTTTTTCCCCCAAGACATAACTGTGAGCATGTAGCACTGGAAATACCATGTCAACTAATCCGTACTGGAGTACACAATGTACTCTTGTAATTACACTGTCTGGTTATAAAAAGTGTTCATTGTATATCTGTACTTATGTTTGTAACTTAATTCATTAATTTTATTCAAAATTCCTTTTAATATTGTTTTGATTAATTTCAAATGGTTCCATGTGAAAAAAAATAACCAGCAATAGCGATCAGCTGCACCGAAGTGCTACGCTTAAGGTTATTATCATTTTAAATATATTTAGTAAAAGCTACAACTAAAATAACATGATATTGGAATATATTATTCCTGATAAAAAAGTAGTTTCAGATACAATTTTTCCCAATCCGTGCATCAAAATCCTTTAAAGTTATACCATTGGGTAAGTTTTAACTGAATCGCCGCTAGATTCCAAGAAAACATGTGTGCAGTTGTTTCCGGCTTAGTTTATGGAAAATACACAAGGTGATTTTAAACCCTGCATGTAAAACAATGCCTAGCAGAACAAAAAATACAATTTAAATGGTAAATCAATTTGTACTGACCAAGTTTCTTTTCACCCGTTGTTTACCGGAATTCGCTGAAGGGGTACGGTGTAATTTTTTTCTGCTTATAAGGCCAGACCAATTTAATTGCTAGGATTACAGATTTTTTCGGGTAAAGTGGCTGAATGGAGGAGGGAATGTAAAAAAAAAAAAAGTACTTGAGAGAAAAAAAATTCACAGGTATTACGGATTTTAGGAGGCAGGAATGCTGATAGGAGGAAATAAAAAATCCACACAAAAAAATCCCTCACTTGTGCCACAGAAGCTACAAAAGTATTTCAGTATTACCCACCACGCATGTTGGAAGCAATGCACTATAGTCCCTTTATCTAATGACACTCCTTACTGATGACCAGGGTTTACAGGTATCTTTTGGCAGTTTTCCACAAGCAGGTAGACTTCAACAACAAGCTTTTAACTTATTAAAGTTTTATTGTATTTTAAAAATATAAAAACAATGTGAAATACACTGAAATTAAAACAGCACTTGGCTTCAAAACAAATATACATTTGGCACATACAAGTACTTGAAATACTCTGTCCAGTATAACTTTATCGTGTTAAATGATCAGGTAACACTCATGGCTGACGTGTTATGCTAACATGTGGAATGCACTTAAATTAAATAGCCCTTGACTTCAAAACAAAAGAAAACATTTGGCACATACAAGTACTTGAAATACTCTGTCCAGTATCACTTTATCGTGTTACATGATCAGGTAACACTCATGGCTGATGTGTTATGCTAACAGGTGGAATGCACTAAAATTAATGAATATTTGGCACATACAAGTACTTGAAATACTCTGTCCAGTATCACTTTATCGTGTTAAATGATCAGGTAACACTCATGGCTGACGTGTAATGCTAACATGTTGAATGCACTAAAATTAAATAGCACTTGACTTCAAAACAAAAGAACATTTGGCACATACAAGTACTTGAAATACTCTGTCCAGTATCACTTTATCATGTTTATGATCAGGTAACACTCATGACTGATGTGTTATGCTAACATGTGGAATGCACTAAAATGAAATGGCACTTATTAAATGGCTTCAAAACAAATAACCATTTAGCACCTACAAAAACTGTACCTGAAATGTTACAAAAGTACTTTTTTCCACTTTCACTCAGTATCACACAACATATTCCTCATGGAATTATGAGGTACACACCTCCTATTAAAAGCAGTCATAAAACAACAAAAGGATAACATACATGAGCAGAGACATTCTGTACAAATTCGGGCCAAGACTTCCACATCACATCAAAATTGGAAAATGTATTTAAAAAATAAGAGGTACCATTTCTGATTTCACACAAAAAACACAGGAGGTAACATATCTTCCATCATCTGACTAGTACCTGCATGATTTACAGGTCAGTTAATGCAAAATGATTTATGATGTTCTCAGTTTTTTAACATTACGTTTCCCCCTCACTGCAGCTTCTTTTCCTGATTGTTTACAAGATCGACAGATAGGCTTCACAGTGCTGTACATAGCCTGAAGTTCATGGATTACACTGTCATCAGCAAAATCTTCTGACCTGGCAATTCCGCAGTGAAAGCAAACACTTGGCAAAGAACATGTATTACTGGCATAGTATGTAGTCTCCATTGTGGACGAACATCTGAGACTCTCTTTCACAACTAGCGTTTCAAAGTATGGAGATGCTGGAGGAAACAGTGGTGACCCACAAGTGTAAGAACGTCCCTCTCTCATGCGGATCAAGGCTGTTTTGTCTTTGCAGGAAAGTCTGGTGTCTGAATAAACACATCTCGGTTTACGACATTCAACACATGTTACCGACTCTCGAACTTTGTTTGCAGTGAGAATTTTCCTGTTTTGCTTCTCTCTTATTGAAGACATTGTGACAGAACTTAAGGAGGGTCTAGCTGAATCAGTAGTGTCTGTACCATAGACAGAATGAAACTCTTCAAACTTATCTCCACTTTCAGGAGATACAACAGGATCTGGAATGAAATTCAATTGTTCAAACTCATCATCAGGCAGTCTTGGAAGATTGATGACACAATACCAACAATCGTCAACTCTGTGGGGATCACATTTCTTGATTTGAAAGATGTACTGCCGACAGCGACAATGGCGATCCATGAAGTCATTTAGTTTATCTGATTTCTCCAGATCTTTCTTCGTCAACTTGTTCATATCAAGTTTATCATCTATATGATCTTTCAAAATACCGAAGAAATTTTCAACACTCTCATTGTTTGCAGCACTGTTTATTATCACCGCATCCCCCTTGACTTTCAGTTGAGAAAACCTTTCCTCCAGTAACTTCAGAACTGGCAAGACGGCAGCTGTAAGGCCTTCTTTAAAAGCTGGATACCTAGAAGCAATGTCTCTTGCAGTTTTCAGGGTTGACACTCTCTTCATTTTCATTTCCAGGTCCTCTGTCATCCGTTCCCTCTCTAAGGAGACATTTTGTAGTGCAAGGTTCAGAACAGAGTTCACTCTTTCGGCCAGGTTTGCCCAACTGCCCATTGGTGCTCTCCTTGCCGTGATCAGCATGTCCAAATCGAGCCATGCAAACATGGCTATCATAGCCAATTGCACAGATCCGAAAGTAGTGCGGTGATCAGGGCCACCATCCGTGTACATTATGAGTATAGCTTTCTCTGAATTAACATCATCAGCACTGAAATGGGATTTGATGATGTTTGTTGTTTCAGCACCATGACGAATAGCACTGGACGGACTGGACACTTTGTCCTTTACAGTCACAAAGGCTGTTCCATTGAAGAAAGAATCACTGGCATCATGTGGAATGTCACAGTGCAGAGCAACAGAGGGGATGGCCCCGCTCACATTATAATCATGATCTAATGCTGTAAGAGAGCTGGCAGTAGTACTGGAAAGAGAAGCATTATGTGGGCGAACACCAGTACTAACAGGTAATCCAGGCTCTCCAATAGGAACAATGGCTTTGTCATCAAGCCAAAAGAAATCAACATGCTCTCTCAATTTCACAGCAAATTTCTTCAAGTAGACCAACTGTGAAGCCACATAGTGACTATCCTCATGTTTTCCATGTATCTGTCTTGTTTGAAGTGAAAACTTTACATTGAAACGACCAGTGTAGTGGAATGCAGTCCTCGTCGTTGGATTGGCTGGCCAGAACTGCAGTCTCACCCATTCATTGGAGGGAATGAGTACTTCTGGATCTACACGACCTCTCACTGTTGACACAAGATCGTCAATTGATATTGCATATGGAAGGTACAGTTGTGATCCATGTCTCCGCTCGTGGACGGCAAGGTCCCTTTCATGGAAGTATTTTTCAACTTCATCCCAGAAGGTATCAAACTTTGTACTGTCTGGGTTGCCATTTAGTCTCTGTAAATCCCATGCCACATCAGCATCATTTAACTCCAACACATCTTCAACACGTTGATCAATCGCAGCTTGTGCAGTGTTTTCAGCACCACTACTGTCATTGGTCAAGAATTTGTACATGTATCTGAGAAGAGCTGGAGACACTCCTGTAGACTGTTGGTATTTCTTCATCTGTCTAGTTGAATAATCTGGCAATGACTTGTGGACTACCCGCACAGTTTTAACTGTATTTTCATCTGACCTCTCGCTCTTATCACCTGGCAAACGCCATACAAAATGTATATTTCCGAGATAATTGCCCTGAAAGTAACTGTAATGTGCCACAGGTATAGACAAACTTAGATTGTCAATCCATGTTCTTCTCTTGTATCTGCAGGTCGGGGGATAGTTGCTGATTTCCACAGGAGTGTATTCATCCTCAGAAGCCAATGTATTGTCAAGATCCAAATAATTCTCCCCCACAGGACCAACAGTTGCCTCAATAACTGCAAGAGAAAAATTCACAGAAGGATTTCACAAAGGTGCACTAGCATTGTGTTGTTCTTTGGACCGCTGGGACTGTTGTCTCAGGAAATCAATGTACTTTGTCATACACTGGACCAGTTGCTGAATATCTTGATAGAGTGTCTTAAATTTGTAGGTCCATGGCAGCATGAGGAGCTCAGACAGGGCATCAATATGCTCTTGAAGTTTTGCGACTTCCATCTGAAAATACAAGTCATCAGATGTTTAAAAATCATTGTTTGAAGTTTGTATTACAATCTTGTAACACTGCAGTTTCATTAAAAGTAGACAATTGTTCTCTATTAAAAATTTAATAAATGCTAAATTTATTAAGATGTATTTATTCTCATCATGTCAACATATGACTTTATTCAATAATAGTTCCCTTGACCATTTGGCAAAACACATGCACACACACTGACAGAGTATTAGTTTAAAAGTCTGGGTTTGTCTAAAACAATTCAAGTTTTATACTAGCTTCAACATAGTATTATTAAAGGTTTTCAGGTGTCAAATTATTTTTCAAAATTTTTCTAAGAAATTGCCGTTTACAGATTTTGTTATGCATACCTTTGGTGGTGGCTTATGTGCTTGTACATGATCGAAGTAGCCTTCGAACTGTTGGAATTTCCCCCCCCCCTCTCCTTCAGTTTACTGTGCTGTGCTGTGATGTACCATAATATTCTCTGAAGAGTCTTGCACACATTTTTTCCTACTGAATCAACATTATTTGTTGTAAAACCAATGCCATGTTTGTGAAACGTCGAGAATGTCATTGAAAAGTTTTCGATCGCCAGTTAGTTTGTCACCAGAATATTTCGCTGGCAGCTTGTCAAACTTTTAAAAACTCATTATAACATCAAACGCTGATGTTTTCTGCACATCGGCGCTGTTTATTCTTGATTTTGCCACCACTGTCACATAATTAAGTCCAAAGTCTGCTAAAACTTGCATAGGTGTTGTAAGTTCGACAATATTCCCGTAGGAACCAGCCTTAGATTCTGTTGCATGCACCTCTTGAAAAGAAAGTCCATCTCCATCGGCGATTGACGATACGACTTTCGTCGCCAAATCACCAACTGTGTCATCCAGTGGACTTTTCATGATTCGCTTTGATAAGCAAACACTACCCTTCAGAACGCTTACGCTGAAATACTTTGCTGACATTGTCGAAAGACACCAGATAATAAAAGGCATTTAAACACCCAAACTGACACCCCATGTCCTACACATGGTCCCGGCATATTCAATACACGATGTGCGCATGCGGGAAACACTTGTAAATGAGAGTACGCATTCGATTGGCCATGTTCGCGTGGAACGACCAATGGAATTTGCCGACACATTTGCGTAAGGAATTTTAGTTAAAAACTAGAGTTACTTACCCTAACATGTATTCTCTCACAACAAGGCTTATCGATCAATGTCGTATGTCGGGTAGAATATTGTAAAAAAAAATGATAGAATTTCGTTGTGTTTTTTTCCGATTTGGCGAAAAATGGTGTCGGCGGATCCGTAATCCTAGCAATTAAATTGGTCTCGCCTTATATTAAAAAATTGTTTTTCCCAAAATACTGAATTTGCTAGAGGGGGGTGCGCATTATACTTGGGTGTGCACTATACTCAAGAAAATATGGTATACAATTTATTGTAAAATTTACAAATTTATACAATATTCCAATATTGTGTTATTTTAGTTGCTGCTTTTGCTATATGTATTTAAAATAACTCATTGCTATTGTCGGATAGTTTTTACCATTGGAACAATTCGATCAGTTTCCGTTAAGGCCTCCCACGTTCTGATGACAGCAAATGACTGAAAACAAAATGCAAATATTGTAATAACACCTGACAAATGTTTTTATCAGTCAGGGTGGCCTCTTTGGGATGTGGATTTGTGGCCTGTGCGTTTAGCGGCTGAATGTGGATACACGAGTAGACCGTGTGTGTACTTGAATGTGTGTGATTGAAAACTGACGTGTTGCACTATCAGGATTGTTTGAAAATTATTACGTGAACTTCACGAGTTTAGTGGTTTATCTATTCATCATAGCACACAATGAATGGTCTATGATTCAATACGACATTCTGTAGATGTTGAGAGTTCACATAATGTGTGTGGGCATTTCCTGTATCCATTTCCTATTTAAATTCCATTGGTTGGAAAGTCGATTGGACCACACCTGCAGGATTCAAGATTTTGTTTTGTATATATTCTTTAACCGCTCCCACAGCACAAGTCTATGTTTTTTGGATGTCCGTCTCATATTTATCTTCATCATAATACAGTTCCTAGTGTCTGGCAAATCTTTACATTGGTGCCATGAAATTGAATCTTTTCATAAGAACTTGTATATGGTACTGCTGCTATCGCAATAACATAAGAAATAGGAGTAGTGCACTTTTCCGGGCGCACCTTTTCGGATTTCAATTAACTCATGGGGCCAGCTTGAAGCGAAGCTAGACTTGGCCAATGAGTTAATCTTATTAGCCAAGGCTTTACCGCCAGTTAATAGTACTCGACAAGCAGCACCCGATTGTTTACCTTTATGCACATGAGCAATAGACATTTTCACCTTTTTTTCTGCAAATCCTGAAGAGTTTATTCCTTGTCATCCAACCACATCCGTTGTAATTTCCGGACTGTCGAATCGTCAGGTTACGGAAAGGGGCGAGTGGTGACCAATGTCAGTATATGAAATACAGAACGCCCCAAAAACTTGTTGGCTAACACAACAACGTGACTGACTGATTATTAATCCAATACAAACTATCTATAATGAATGTATGTAAAATGGGACAATATCAACTCAATGTTGAGCATGTTGAGATAATAATGCAATTACCAGCTTGATACATCAAAGGAGATAGTCGCTTGGTTTTTTTAAATGACCGGATGTGATTAGGACCGACCACTGCAGCAGGTGTGACTTGTTTTGATCCTCTAATGAAGCAGTTATGAATGTGGTTGTACTTTTGAGGAATGTAACCATCAATATCTGCTTAAAGAAACAATAATAGCTGTCTGCAGCTTCACAAAGAAACTTTTGATGTCATGTGTCTTTGTAACAATGTAATATTTTAAAATATATATTATATATTGGGATATTATAACAAATCCACTATGCAAGATAATACTGATTAATCAACATGTTTTGGGTTTATCCTTTTTTATTGATGTTTTTTGCAACTCAGCTGACCATTCCTCTCTTGCTGCACAGACATGTGCATATTACATAACATCAGTGTTCGAAATACCTGCCTGCCCGACCGTCCGAGACGGGTTGATTTCAACTCGGGCTGCCAGATTTTCAAATCCCCCTGCCCGACGGTCGGGTTATATTTCATATGTGAAAATATTCTAAATATTTCCCGATGATAAGCATTAATTCACATGTAAAGATGAATGATAAAATGTAACCAAAAAGAAACCCCGTTAGCTTATCCTGAGAAACATATGATTATAGTGGGCAGGCAGGTTTTGGTCAGGGCTGGCAAGTATTTCAGCTAGCCAGTCCCGTGGTCTGGCTGAAATTTTTGGGAGTTTCACCACATCAGACCAGGATGTATAACTCAATCTTAGGCTGAATATACCCCAGGCATGAGAAACGCCAAATGCGAATCATTGACTGTTATATGTCCTGGACACCCTCAGAGGCAGGGTGAACGTTATTGAGTTACTTTGCATAGTCTTTGTCGGGTAATCTGAGTGGTTCTACAACTAATTACACCTGTAATAAAACTATTAACTGAGCATCAAGTGAATAATGACAAATACACAGGTGTAGGATTACACCATGAATCATGGATGACAAGAATTGAGTAGTAATTGTAGTATTGTATGCAATTTCAAGGGGATTCCCCCTCGCTGTCAACGAGGTCCTCCAATTGACCCCTCATCTGTCCAGAGCCCAGTTTGTTTGGTCGCTAATGCTAAATGGCATCTGGCGATTATGCAGGCTAATTAATAAGGCACAGGCTAGATGACTGAGAGTTGAAGTGTTGTTTCCCTTTAAGGTAAGTAGTGCTAGATATCACTCACAATATGCATATCGATCATCGAGCTCCATCATCGATCGATTAATCGATTGTAATTGTACCCCACTGTACACACATGGGCAGTATGGGAATAGAATATGACATTGAATACTGATGCGAACACCAGTCCTTTTTCGCCTCTGATTACAAGTACAATAGACGATCCAGCAGTGGTAGAAACTGACATTTTTAGTCCACTAGTCCTTATAATGATAACATATAGCAAAACCCTTAAGAATATCAAATTTCTACTAGTCCTAATGATACCTTAACTATTGGGCAGTTTGGCAAGGACTACAGGACTAGTGCCAATTTCTAATGCTGTTGAGGTTACTTCCTGGTTGACTTTTGTGTGTTGTTTTTAGTCCTGTATAGAATTCCCTTCTTGTAAGCCAATCAGCAATGAGCAATACGGTCGCACCCACATGAAAACCTACCCCACCACCACCCAACCCCCACCCCCAACCCCCCCACCTCCTATATTTGGACCTATATGGCCATTGGCAGCAGCTGAGATGACAAGCGCATTACTGCACTTCTACACTTTACCACTTCCTGTTGTGGCACGTGAGTAGGTCTGTTGTATACATTGCAATTTACGGCAGGCAACCAGGCAACCAGGCAACGCTATCAGTTTGTTTTTGTCTTGATTTTAAAAATATAACAATAACGAATGTACTGTTAAGGTATATTTGGATGTTACACATGGTCATTTTTATTTGTCTCCCGAGCCATTCGATAATTGCTCTCCAGATCAATCAATTGACCGAGACTGGGATACCATCTGTTAGGACAGCAGAAATATACTTTTAGGCAATATCTGTTACCCCTGATCTATTAACATTTCTTTATTACAAAGGGAGCATGTAAATAAATTTCTTCAACCTTAACAGTTGAAAAGAATGGTGGAAGCTCATCAAATGCCGTTATTTGGAAATAGCCCTGATGGTTATATACTGAACAGCATTGAAAACGCACCAGCAATAAATCTTGAAATATTACAAAAACAACTTGAGCAATGATCGATTTTAATTAGAACAGACATAGACGGAATATTAAGAAAGACGACAAAGTAAACAAGAATACCACACAGTAATTACATTTAAATCATCAGTGTGAGAAAGACACATAGGGTTAAAATGAAAAGTCAATATCTGGGATGTCCGCCATTGGCAGCAACACAGGCCATGCAATGTCTTTTCATTGATCGAATAAGTCTGCGAATAGTGTTCTGTGGGATAGCATTCCACTCTTGACGTAGCGTATCTTCAAGTTCTCTCAGGTTCCGTACTTGCGGACGACGTGAGAGGCGTTGACCCAGGTAATCTCATAGATGTTCAATTGGCGATAGATGGGTGACAGGGCGACAGGGCTGGCCATGGAAGCAGAGACACATTATTGCTAGGTACTGTGTTGAAACACGTGCCGTGTGCGCTCTTGCATTATCTTGCTGGAAGGTGTGCATATCCTGGTGCTGATGAAAGAATGGGATGACGTGATTAGCCAATATGTTATTCCTGTAGTAAAGGGCATTAACTCTTCCACGACAAACATGGAGCTCTGTTCGATGGTTATGATTGATGTCGCCCCCACACCATGACACTCCCTCCCCCCCATCGATCTGTCTGTACAACGCAGTCATTGTGGTAATGTTCTCCACGACGACGCCACACTCGCAGTCGACTGTCAGCATTCCGTGAATGAAAACGGGACTCATCAGACAACAGCACACCATGCCACTGCCGCAATCTCCAATGACGATTTCTTTTCGCCCCAACGCAGACGTTCACACTGATGTCAATCAGTGAGCATGGGTCCAACATACAGACGTTGAGCACGTAGCTCAGCTGAGCGGAGACGTCAATGTACGGTGTCAGCGCTGATCCAACCCCGTCGGCCTTGTACGATTGCTGCAGTCCTGGTAGCCGGAAGTGTACGATTACGAAGATGCCGACGAACAATATGGCGATCCTGACGTGGTGTAGTTACACGACGTTGACCCGGATGTGGTCGATCTCTGGTAGTTCCTGTCTGCTGGTATCTGCTCAGTAGCCTGAGGACTGTTGAATGATGGCATTGAAACCATTGTGCAACGACTCTACTTGACGTACCAACTTGAAGCATGCCCAAGGCACGTTCACGTTCCTCTGCTGTTAATCTTGGCATTTCTTGTGTCAGTACCCTTTATGTCTGCAGCAACAAGTGATGTGGCTTTTAAAAGTCTGTCTTTTATAGCCCTATTCTGCATGCTTCCCGTGAAACAAAACACGTTTTCCATGATGCGCAATTTGTTGCGTTTTGTTGTTGTCGCCACAAAAAATTTAGGAATGTGTTTTTTCACTAGCTGTTCTTCTTCATGCTTCGTCCAGAACGTCGTATATTACTCATTCAATTATATATTTTCATATGACATAAGCCCAGATAAAAATACATCCGTTTCATGGTGGTGCGTTTTCAATGCTGTTCAGTATAGTTTGCTAAAAGAAATTATCCCCGTAGTGAAAGCATGTTCGGATTTCGGAGTGGATAATAAGATGACTGAGATCCTATTTCTGTCTTTCATAGCTTGATATTTGATCATGTCATGTCATACTGTCATGACAATAGGCCTCTAATAATAAAAATATACATTTCATAAGTTTGAGGCTGTAAATAAAACCTGTTTTTGCCTTTTTGCTCTAAATTTGATTTGGAAACGAATGCGCAGCGTGAGGCTTCAAATGTTAAATTTAGCTCGTTTAAATCTACAGGTAATCTAGCTCTTCATTGAACAGTATGTTTATCCCCATTCTACCATGACTATATAAAACGCTGACTGTTTGGGGTTTGCAAATATATTGAGTGAAACGGCATGGGTTGAGTCCAGTGTTTTGAGTGGGTTGTTGATCTGAATTATTGAATCACCGATAAAAGCCTTTAAACAAAATATGGCACTGTATATGCTCAAACAGTGACACCATAATTCTTCACTTGACCATGTGACAGGCATTGAAAGCACATCTGCAAGGCAACTTGGTCAGCTAACATGAGGCGGGCTCGATCCCCAAAAGAAAACTAAGCATCACCAATATGACGTCATATCGCTCATTGTGACGCAAAAGATATGAAGTCACAGTCGTATATAGAAAAGTGCCAAATTCCAAGCTCTCTGTTGTCCCCAAAACTTAAAATACATTCTCTATGTAGATTTCTTTCTTTTCATAACCTATAATTGTAGATGTAATACTTTATATATGCCAACTGACAATGACTGAAAAGAAGTACTATTCTATGAGTTTTAGCTTCTGCGATGATGTGGCTGTCGAATCAGGTGTTTTAATCAGAGGGGGTTTATTGTGATTTGACAACCTCCGATTGACCAATCAGAATCATGTTATTTTCAAATTCATGTTAGAATAAAGTTTATCCCTGCCACTGAGAGTGTCTAGGATATACAGCAATCAGTGGTTTCCATTTGGCATTTCTTTACATGTCCGTGGTAATTATTCAATCTAAGATTGGGTTACAAATCCATATCTGATATGGTGAATGTATCCAGCACAACGGGAGAGGAATAATCAGTTGAGTTGCAAAAACATTGATCAAAGGATTAACCGATTGTGCATGTGTTGAGTGCTCATTTAACTCAATGGATGTTTTTAAAGAACCATAGGCATCGTGAAAATAGCTGTCACGTGTGCTATCTCAGCTGACCAGTGACACTTATGTCAAATAAACTTAGGTGATCAGTTTAGAAATGGACACGAGTTGTTAAATCCAAAAATGCTATATATATTTTAAGATATTAGATTGTTACAAAGACATGTGACATCGAACAAGTTTCTTTGTACAGGATATTGTTCCTTTATGTGGATATTGACAGATACATTCCTTGAACAGGGTAACTTTTGTTGGTTTTACTTATGATATTTGCATTTTATTTCATTCATCTGCTGTGACATCGAACAGAATCATTCTTGTTCATCTACTTTACCATTGGGAAGTTCTTAGATGCGAGACAGACAACACTAAGTCATTGTTTTCACAAGCCTTTTTGTTTGTACTATTGTAGGCGTGTATATGTAACAGTCAATATGTGTAAATCAGCCAATGTGTAAAATGTTATTCACTTAAGGGGCCATTACACCAAACGGCGATCGCTCTGCGCTCCTTCTGCGTCCTAAAATTTGACTAGAGCGCAGTGGGGTCGCCATACTCAAGAAAACTCTCTTTTGGTGTAATCGCTCCTACCACCGTTCTGCCTTCCTTCTGCGACTAAATATGTTACTTTTGTCAATGTCACTGCGTT